TGTTCCCATGCAAGAACTCCCAGAACGTGTTTTTTTTTTCCCTACCGGTTTTCATCATTTTGTGTCTTAATGCCCTGTCTGGCATTCACAAGTGTGGTCTAGCCTTGTTCATAGCAGTTCAGAAATTTGCGGCTGGGATTAAGCCTTTGAACCTTCCACCCCCTTTGAATCTTTCTGTGGGTTCCCATTCTCAGTCACATCAAACACTCAACCGTTTTGGTTTCAAGGTCCCCTAAGATTTACTGTCTGTATGCATAATTTTTCTTGTGCTAGCAAAATGCTGGCTTCTATTCTCCAGTAAAGCAGTGGTGATATCTTTTGTCTTCACCCGTATTGTTTGGAAAGATTTTCACCAGTGCTGCAGCATTGATAGAGTTCTTCATAAATATCTGTAAAGCTGCCCTTCAAACTTCTTAAGGTTCTTCTTTAATACAATGCTTAGAGAGAAATGTGGAATGACGGAAAATCTTGGGTTCTATCACTATAAGCAATATTCTTTCATCATTTCCTCACATGTTCTTCTTTATCTTCTGTCTGCATCCACTTGTCTTTTTTCTTCCGCCTCATGGTTGGGCTGGCTAGTTTCTGAGCTCCCCTTCTGTTCTCTGTTGGCCCAGTGTCTGTCGCTGAGGAGACCCTCTGTCCCTCTGTGACTCGCTTCTTTGTGCTCCAGAGTACAAATACAAAAATGACTGGATACCCTTTTTCATACAGTACACAGTGGGGCTGGGAGATCAATAGCTGCAGGTTATCACTATGGCCGAACTTTTGAGGAGTCTAGAAATGGTGTATTTATGTTGCATAGTAAGAATGCCTCGAGTTGCGTTATTTCTAAGTAGAAAAAACTCTCTTTTCTGAGAGAAGAGATTGATAAACTTTGTTCTTCAGGGGATAGGTTGATAATTGATGGGAAGAAGTGCACTTTTTGAGAAGGAGATCTCTCAGCTTCCTACTGAACACTGTTTTGCAACGTTGTCTGAAACAAAGATTAGTGAGAACTTCAACTGAAATACATTGCAGGAGGGCCCAGGTCTGACTTCCATTTTTTCCTCTTTTGGAATTCAAAAAGGACTTTGCTCGGAGTCAAGCCTGATCATGATTCTCTGGAGTTTTGGGAGAGGCAATAAGGAATCAGATAATTTCATTACACTGTGAAGCAAAATTGCATTTTTAAATGTCAAAAATAGACATAAAATGAAATTGCTACTTATAGTTAGTGCTACTTTAAGCATCTGGTATCAGTTACTTCTAGAAATACATTATTGGATTAGGTGGATCATTGATCTGATCAGTCACGGCAGTTGTATATTCCTGTCGAAAAACTGTTGTTGTTCCAGAGGAATTATTTTTAATTATTGGAAGGGTATTAAAAAAATGACATATAGAGGTTGAGATGAGGAAGCTAGTTCTTGACTTGCTTTGAAGGCAATCTGCTGTCTTGCCTAATAAGCTTTTAACGGTGGAATGGTTAAATTGGGAAACAGGCCAAGAACAAAGGGAAGAGAATGTAACATCGCTAGTCATAGGGCTGGTGGTTCATCGTGGGCTGGGACTGGCAGGTCCTGGAACACAGCTGTTACATTCCATTAATTAAAGTGCTGTTAGGTTAAAAGTGACTTTCACGAACTGTTTTATTTTATTCCAATCCATAATTCTGCAAACAGTTGTAACGTTTTTCAGTCTGATGTCTTCCCTGCTTCTTTCTGCTTCTTAATGAAATACAATTTTCAAATATTGTATGTTGTAAAGCAACAAATTGTAGAAGACCAATGTAACTGATGAGGTCTTGGTGCCTTATCATTTTATCAGATTAAAATATGTTGGAAGATTATCTGTCCTGTATTAGGTGCGTAGTAACAATGCTGCCTAGGAGACATAAAGCGCGTGCACGCTCACTCTCTCTCTCTCACTCTCATATTTGTTAGGATTAGTACTAAGTTCCCCCGGTTGTGTTTAGTAATGCTTGTGATTCTTTTGTGCTTTGTGACTGAAAATTCATCACAACTGGTGCCTAATCTGCAGTTTTGATTAGGGTTCTTACTGTAATCACATTTTAAACATGCACTGGCCCTGTTTGAAGGGTCCTTAAAAAGTTGTTTTTTCACTACAGATCTGTATTTTAAAATTGAAAACAAATTGTTGAAAGCTGCTGAAATGGCACTCTATCTAATTAGTTCTTCTTTTCCTCAGCCTTATCTGCCCTCAAAGGAGAGGACATGACCCAGTTCAGTCATGCAACTGGCTGAAAGCCTGAAACAGATCCCAAGCTGAGCCTTGAGCTTCCACTCATCTGTTGCTTGGGGATTGCTTCTATGCTTTTTGTTTCTGTTTTGGTTCAAGTAGAGTTTGAAAGGAAAGCATCCCTGGGAGAAGTGATACATGTTTTGCCTAAACTGGGACAAGGGAGGCCAAGTCACTGGATTTGTAGATCTGCGCTACCACTGGCAACTTGCTTATCCTCCTGCACCTCAATTCCCACATCTGGGAACTGGAGCTAACATCCTACTTTGCAAACATAAATGAAATCTCATGCCTCTTCCTCAAGGCACTTTGAATTTTTTTGGCAAGACATCTATCTGTGTACGATGGTGACAATAATTCCTTTGGTTAAGCCTTTTGGGTGCTGCAGTTGTGGGCAATCTGTCTGGAGCAACAAGGTGCTCTGTTGCTCTGATGAGTGAGAGTGAACTCAGGAATACAATGTAGAGGAAAATCTTGATAGTTTTATCACAGTTAATTATTAAACGAACCTTGTATTAAAGACCTTTATGCAAAACACATTCCTACTTTGATTTCTATCATTAAAGGAGCCTGTCTCCTTTCTACAGAGAAGAAAAATCTTAATGACTTCAGTAGAGAAACAGCCCAAAAGGCTGAATATTTGAGTCCCCCTTTGTTTCTCTAAAACATGGATTTTGCTTACAGCTCGTAAAACTGCCTAAGACAAAAGTTCTGTAAAAAGCAGATCTCCATAGTACCCCAGAACCTGATACCTGATGAGTATTTTACTTAGATTCTTGCCGGCTGTGAAGGCCTATGAGAGTGGCCCATTCTTGACTGATAAAGTGTAAAATGGAGATCTGTCATGCAAAGCAGTTTTCTCATACCAAGGTAGCCTTGTCCGTGCAAGTGGCAGTTGCCATTTTTCTGCCACTGCCCTTTCTTCCCTCTTTCTTTGTTCTTTGTGAAGCAGTGGCTGTTGACTGGAGTATTGGCTCTGAAGATCGAGAATGAGGAAATGTTCATGCTCTGTCATAGATTATTTATTCATTTATTTATTTCCTGAATGATTCCCAGCCGGTCACTTAATCTCTTTATAAACTCGCCATTCATCTCTGAAGTCAAGACTGTAGGCTGGCTGCCTCGCTGGAACCAGCGTGTGGAAGTGCCTGAGCTGCTCAGCCTTTCCAGCAGTGTGGACAAAAAGAAACTAGAGGTCTGGTTTCTCTCTGTGACGTGGTCTTGCGTTTCCTGGGCAAACCTGTCCAAATCCCTTCATTTTGCTGCTGCAATTATTTTTTTTCACCTTGAAAAAAAAGGCGAAATATATTTTCCTGGTTTCACAGGAGTGTTACAAGGAAACTTTTATCGGTGCTAGTGAGCTATGGTGTAACAGTATAGTGGGATGGCAGGAACTGCACCTGCCTCCGCTTATTTCTACGGTCTGTAAGCTCAAGGAGCTGTGTGGACTGACTATGTACCAAAATCTCAGGGTTTCCCTTTAGTAGTTTGAAAATTTTTTTGAAGAAATATGCGCTGTTTTATATGTGGAAGGTTTTTCTACATAAATCTTAATGTGAAAATACAGTGGGGGATACTTCAGGGACAGCTTTTTTCATTCTCATTTGTAAATACAAGTTTTGAAAGCCCTCCAACTATCCGTCTCATTTACTCAGAGCTTCCACTGACCTTTTAATGTGGTGGGAAGCTCACCAATCCTATGCCACAGGTATTAGCAGACTGTGTACAACTTAGGTCTTGAGCATGCTAGAACCTAGATACCAGATGTGCTTTATTCTCATCTACTAAATTTATGCAGTGCTAAAAAATCCTGCAATTTAAAGACTAGTTAATAAAAGGATTTAATGACCAGAAGTCAAATCCTGCTGTTGTCATTCATTACAGGGTGTTCTTCTATGATTAATTCTGCTCTGAATAGATGTCCAGAAATGTGTAGTTTCTCACAAATTCTTCTAGAGGACAGGCATTTACATTCTATAAAAATGGTGATTCTATGAAATTCACTCACACAGAGTACTGTGTTGGCTGACATAATCTTTCAAATGGCCTGATCTTGTAAGCACAGGCAAATCTAAAATATACGTTCAGTGGAAAATCAGTGGTTCTTGTTCTCCAAAGTTTAGTGTTTTGTTTTACAGTGTCATTCAGTCTTTGAGGATGCATTCTGGAGAGAATAAAGGAAGCAGTACAATCAGCAATAACATATTTGTGAGTTATAACCTTAGAAGCAGTAGGTTATTTTGCACTAATGGTTTTTTCCCATAGAAGACATGAACTTTTGTGCTGGTTTATTGGGAATATTTATTATCATCCTGCATTGTTTCTAGCTTAAAGTAGGACCCTCCAGTCTGGTTGAACACTGTATAAAAACAGCAAAATAGGCAGCCTGTGCCCTGAATTGATTATTGTTTAAGCATCAGTATTGCCAGTGGACTTAATTAAAAATATAAATCTTGATCTTGAAGCAACTGGGTATTTTGCAATTGATCTGAGAAGGGCAAAGGCTTCACTAATTACCTTTTTTTGGTAGAGATTCTTTCCAACAGCTGCATGAAATTTAGTTTTTTGAAATCGTCAACACATCACTTTAGATAGAACATCAGAGTATGTGAACTCAGCTCTGCTCTCTGCTTCCTCTCGCAGCATTACGCCAACATTGTTTTTTTGGTTTGAAAATAAGTGGTATATTGGCATAAATACCTTCCAGTTGTAAATTCTGCTTTTTAAAATTGAATACTGTCTTTTGTGTGTTTCTTCAGGGCTAGCTGGAAAGATCATAAAAACCATCATCAATGAAGGATTTCAGATCTCAGCTTTGCAGATGGTAGGTTTCCTTTTGTGTATGTTTTTCTGATAAACGGAAGTTGGAGAAGTGCTGTGTGAGCTTCACAGCAATGCACAGGTGTTTTCCTGCAATACAAAACCCTTGTACAGACTGTGTAGCAATGTTTTGGGATCAGCACTGTTCTTGTGATACTTGTGTTTTATTATTTGATTGATCAGCTGATCTGTTTCTCGTTGCTGGGTGACCTTGAGCCAAGACACTTTACCTCTCTGTATCTCAGTTTCCCTATAGTTAGAAGGGGGATAATGATATCTGTCTCTTCTGGAGCAGTTTGAGATATCTTTACAAAATGTACTAGCTAAGATTAGAGAAATGATTGTTAATATCCTTCCTCAATTTTTTTTTAATAATATTTAGTATGAATTTGGGGGAAGGTTTTTAAAGATACTTAAAGGATTTTGACACGCTGATCACCCTCAGCAGTTAAAGGAAGCTGGCACAGAGATTGTTCCCAAGGGTAGTCCTGTAAGTCCTGCCCTTGGATTTTTGTGAAAGTCTCGAGGTCCGAAATCCCCCTATGACTCAAATCCCCACCACAAATGAAGAATGGCCCCTTTCCTTTACTATGCAACAAACAGATTCTCTTGCATGTCTTAGTGGCATCAGCCAACACTACATTGTCGACTTATATTTAAGGTGGAAGAAGATACTGTGTGCTATGTTGCCTGTGGTGTCATTGGTTAAGTTGTTGGCAAACTTCATATTGCAGCTGTAAAGACATTCCTTTTATCTAGTAAAACTTAAGAGTATTGTGAATGTTTGCAGGTTAAGAAGGGGGGTCTGTCTATTTTTTTGTTGTTGCTGTTTAAGGCAGACGGGCTAACACTTTTGTTTTCTTAGTTCAACATGGAGCGTACAAATGTGGAAGAATTTTATGAGATTTACAAAGGTGTCGTTGCTGAATATATGGTAAGCATAAGTATGAGGATAATCTGTTTAAAAAATAAAATACGATTAAACGAGGAAGCGGTCACATCTTTCCTTTTTTAGGATTGTGATAAGATTTCTTTTAGGAACTTGGTATTGACCAGTTCTAGCTTGTTCTCAAATAAATTAACTCACTTGAAAATTGTGCTATCTATGTTGTAAGAAAAGAGAGTCTTTCGTGAAAATTGTTCAGCCAAGGAATTTGTAAAATACAACAGTGTGAATAACCCCCCCCCTCAGATAAGTTATTTTATTGCGGTAAAGTTATGAGAATGTGTCACATCTGTATCTTTCTTTGATTTGATATTGCAATAGTGACTTGGACCAGAATATATATTTATTATTTTGTTTACAGCGGGGCTGCTGTATTTGAACACCTTTCTAATGACTTTTTGAGCTATTCTTAAGTATATTGATCTGAATTTTGTGGATCTTCAGAAAATTTAGAAGTTTAAGATATGCTTTAATCCCAGTGGAAGTCTAAGACTCTCTATATTATTATGCCTTGTTGTACTGTCACATAAAACTTCCTAACTGCAGATAGAACAACGGCAATACAAGATGACAAGCTTGCATTTCTGTATCACCTTCTGTCAGAGGATTTTCGTTCATTTTACAAATAGTAATGAGTTTAGCTTCACTGCCATGCTATGTACTATGCAAATTATCCTTAATTTTTCAAAGGTTAAATTATTAAAAGTTTTCTACACAGTTACTAATATTACTCTTATAATAACATTTTTAATTTATTTTTTTTCCCCCTTTATGATTGTTTAGTCTAACTTACTTCAACAGGGTTTGTAGATTTGTCTTTAAATAAGTTAGGAGTACTGTTAGTTCACTCTCAGATTGGGGAATACTCTTAAAGTCTCCTCTGATGACACTGTTTTTGACAAGGACCAAAGGAAGATTGGACAGGCAGACTTGTAGGTACATGGCAAAATTCAAATATGGTAATATCTGACCAGTATTTCAGGGCCCGAAGAATCCCGTGGTACTGTGAAAGTCTCTGCTTTGAACCAAATTGGAAATTCTCTACCATCTTCTGCAGCTCTTTTGTACAATCTCTGACCCCCTAATAAGTTGCAAATTTTAGTTATATAATTTAATTGGAGAGTTACTTAGAAGGGAAAGTGACATTTAAACAGGGTAAGTCAATAAAGAAGATAGGTTTTAGATGGGATTTGAAGAACAGTGAGAATCTAGGGCTCTGTCCTGCAAGCCATATGTGCTGGATGCGCTCAGTTGAAATGAAATGAAATAAATATCTCCGTGCACTCAGGATATCTGTGAAACAGGAAAACGTGGGAAAGCTAATCATGATGGTAAAGGGATCCAGAGAAGGCACATATGGGAACAGGAGTAGATATTGTCAGTGCAGGCCAAATAGGAAGAAGTATGTTGCAAAATAGGATATTGGAGAAAGAATATGACCTCTTATATCTGTGACTCAGAACCGTCTGTTTTGATCTGAATTTTATTTATCATTCCAAAATAACTCAGCATAGAAAATAGTTGGCATCCAGAAATCCTTTTAAAAAACTGTACTCCTGTTTCTTCTCGTTACCCCTTGTCTGTCAGATAAAGGCTTGACATTGTATATAAAACACTTCTCTGTGAAAAGAGAAAACTGAACAATTGCCCAAAATTTTGGTGATCAGACAGTTTTTTGAATTACAATATTTATTCATGTTGTAGAGCGTGAAACTAGTCTGTACTCTTTTCATGTCCTCTCAGGAATACTTCTACCTACATTTCCTAGGATCAGGTTCATGATAGAGGCACTTGGCTAAAATTCTGTCCCGTTGACTTCAGATTGGGGAGATTAAGCACATGCTCTTGGTGTGGAATCCGTTATGAAGCTACCAGCTCTTTAGAACAATGCTGCTTGACTTGGAGTCTTTGTGTATTTTGTTTCCATCACAATTCATAAAAGGCAGAGGAGGACTTAACCCTTCTTTTCCTACTGCTTTTTTGCCCACTTTGTATGCTCTTGTTCTTTGCTATGGCTAATCCTTGACCTGCCCTGGCTGGTGGATGTGATTGCAGTACGTTGCTTGTCCTTCTCTGTCCTCCCTTATTTCTTGTGAATGTTTTCACCTTTCCCCTTTCCCCACTGGTTTTGATTCTTTTAATTGTCCTGATTTGTTTAAAGCTTGTGTGCCCAAATTTCTAGACAAGTATGCAATTATAAGGGCATGTTTTAAAAAAGGAAGTCAGACTAGAACATCAGAATAGGTTCTTTCTGCTTGTGAAACCTATACCTCTAATGAACAAACTGGCACTAATGCCCAGAGTTAATTTAAGCTTATGAAAACTAAGACGCATTTTCATCACCCACTCAGAACTCACGATGTCTCTTTACTCTCCAGGAGGCTCCAGGGAAACAGATGATTTTGGTGTAACTGAGATTCTGGTAACAGTACACCACAAATGTTGCCAGATCAAGGACCCTTTCCCTAACAGGTTGTGGCATAGGCCCGTTTCAGTTCTGTTCTGTTGGCTTGTGTGTTTCAGCTTCTGTAGTAATACGTGAGGAAAAGACAGTGAGAACCAAAAGCCCAAGAGACATTTTAATGACTTAAAGCCATCAAACGGGTGTATATTTGAAAACAAATATAGGCTGTGTACCGTGCTCCCTGTAGGGAACACTGCAAAGTACACTGCTGCCTGTGGAACTGGCTGAACATAGTGTGATTTTTCAGGCTTGTACCCAGCAAAATGTACTCCATTGGTTCAGTCTGGTCTGACAAGTTATGGGATACTTCTGTGAAATCCAGGTCCAGATCAATAAGGATGTACTCTCTAAAGACTTTAAAGTATTGTGGATGCTATTGCATGCTATTGAGTATGCTGTTGAAGCTGAATATCCAATTTACCTCAATTTCTGCCTTCTAAACTAAGTAGCAAAATGGAAAACATTTCTTTTGTTGTGAATACTAATGACATCTTTGTTTCATGTCTTTGCTTTCCTAAATACACCGATATTTCTTAATTGTTCCTGTCCTGTAAGTTTGGGTCTAGTTTTGGGGAGGAATGCAACTCTTGCTAATGCCCAAAGAAGCTCAGATTTGTTTCTCTCTTTTTTCTCTTCCAGGAGATGGTTACAGAGTTGTGTTCAGGCCCTTGCATAGCAATGGAGATTATACAACCCGAGCCTCTAAAAGTGTTCAGAGACTTCTGTGGTCCTTCTGACCCTGTAAGTACTTGCTTGAGTGATAAGGAATGCTAAAAAAGTTGATGTGCTGTCTATGTGAATTAAAATACCGCAGTGTGGTATGGCTGCCACGTACCTGCTGCATTCCTTGGAAACATGTAAGCATTACCTTTTTGTGGAGGTCAAATGCTAGTCTTAGTGAACCAATTTGCAAATCCTCTAGCAACTCTTCTGATTTTACCTAAACCAGATGATAAAATACTGTGATGGTATTTATGTGAAAGGAAAGCTATCTAGGCAAAAATCTCTTTTAAAGATTCATGAATATTCTAACATAAGGCTTCAGAGCCCTGGAACAAATAGTTATTGCTTGTGCATGCCAGTGTAAATCAAATGTTTGTCCACTGCAGTCTGGCATTCTCCTAGGATGAAACTGTAAAAGGAGAATTGGTTCCTTTGTTTTTTAGAAGGAAGTGAACAAAAAAGGGTATAAAAGTTCTCCTACCTGTTTGCTATGCTAATGCTTCTAGATTTTGTTTTTCATTTCTTGAGGTGACTAACTGGATATGCGTGATACTGTGTGCAGTTTGGAGACAAGCATAAGTGCTGTCTCAAAAAGTTTGCAGTTTTTTGTTAAACAATGAAAGCTGCTATACCACACAGGAGCCATGAGGTGAAATGTCAAGATGGAGGCAAGGAGGTCAGGGTTTGTATGTTTTTTTGATTATGATTTCATATTTTAGTTGCAGACTGAGTGGGTTACCAGTTTCCATGGAAAAAATTCACACAGATTAATATTTGAAGGGGAGAACAAGTTGTTCAGGATATATTTTTCTTCAGATCCAGAGTTTCCATTACAGAGAGCACAAGTTAAAGGCATTATCCAAACCTTTTTTTTCCCCTTCTGTTTGGTAACATTCAATGTTTCTCTGCTGGGTTAGCATCTTGTGAGCCGAGCATAACCTGTTTATCTGACTTAGTTTTAACTGCAGGATGATATATCAGTAGTGATGTGCACAATATGGTGGTTTCAGTTTTGTTTCAAATTCTATGTTTAAGGTTTCTGGTCTTTAAAACTTTCAAAGATGCAGTTGTTTTGTTTGGGCCTATTATATCGTTTTCATGTTTCTGCTTGTTTAATGCCTGATACGTTAAAATCAAAATATGCTTGCAAACATCACAGCTGCTTTAAGTTATGACAGACAAGTGTACCTATACAAGGGGAATTTATTTTCCCTTACTACATCACATGAAAAGCTCTGTCATAGCCATACAACATGTGTGTGACCGAAGGAACTGTTGATGAGCTGAGGAACTGAGGGATATATAAACTGATGGCTTCTCTGGGTAGCACAAGAAAACAGCAAAGGAGGGAACTAAATTCCTGTCTCTCAGATCTCTTGCTAGTGACCTACCTATGCTATTTGTGTTTCCCTTTTAATGGTTAACTGTGTGACTTGTGAAGTGAAAATGAGTACACACCTGCTTCTAGTGGAAGCAGGTGGCTGTAAGTTTTGGACACTGACTTCATAGCAGTTACACTAATGGTATGTTTGGAAGACAGGCAGCTGTGTTATATATTTCTGTCTACTGTTTTCTATAAGAATTGCAAATTAATTGATTCTTCAGGCACACAAAGCATATGTACAGTAGCTACAGCTGCTCTCAAGAGTGATCTCTGCCTGAAATTTATCTGTCTCTTCAGATAGCATTTGTAGCTGGTCCTTGAGGAGGAAGGGACTAAGGTATCTCAGTGGTCTTTTGTCATTCCCAACCGGAATCGTCAGAGAAGCTCACAACTGAACTTTGTGGTTACAATATCTATCTCAAATAGGGGTAGCAGAAACAGTAAGAGCAGTTCCATTATCTAGCAAGGTTATATACAGACCATGAAGATACCATGGACTTGATATTCTAGTGGTTGAAGTACATCTAAGTGTTGTGCAGATAGTGCATTATCATTGAGAGACCTGGATCTCTCTAACTTTTTCTCTAACTTTTTATAAACTTGTTTGTTTATATATGCTAGATCCTGATGTGTCTACAGCCTTTTTATAAACACAGGTGAAGAGCAAGTTTACTACAAAATGTACCTGATTGGGTCACTTTGGCTTTTGTTAGATAGTACCCTATTTGGCAAGTAGTCCCATTGAAATACCTGTGATTAGTCACAAAGCAAGGTACTGTTTGAAGTGAGTAAAGGTGTTGGAATTTGACATATATAATGAATCCCTCCCAATCACATGTGCTGTTAATTGTATCTTAGATACATAGCAAATGTAATAATTACTTTGTGGCAGGTCAGATATCTAAACTGGGTATAAATGTTAACAACCCTTTCAGTCTGGGTTTTTCAGGGAGGCAGTTGGGATACGTTTTAATAAAAGGCATCCAAAAAGAGGTGATACAGATTTTCCCAAATCAAAGCGAGATGTCATTTGGAAATAGGTCTGGTTTTGTCCAAGTCCCTTGATGTTTAGGGCTGAAGAAAGAATTAGAGTTGTTCCATTTTGAGGATTATACTTTAATAAGCTAGCAATTTCAGCAGTGTACAATGCTAAAAATGAAATGGAACTTTGTGCTATTTTCTGTACCTCAGTAATATTTTGTTAGTATTGCAGGTCAGGAAAACTCTCTGCCAAAAATATCCTTCATTATAAACCAGCTTATAAATACTTTATTAAACCTCTCATGTGGTAGTAGGGAAGACTACTAACCAACAACCTGTTTTGAGCTTTTGTAGTAGTGTACGAACAGCCTATCAAATCTGGAAAGCAAGCAGTGGGATAAAGATTCTTGTCTGTAAGGAGCTGTGCTGGACATGCTCACTCTCAAAATTACTGTGACCTGATTGAAGGGTTCAGTGTCAGAGATTGCAGGCTTGTGGAACATTTGTCCCCAGTGGATAGTATATGCACTAGGAGAAATGCTTTTCTGCAGATCTTGCTGCTGCTCGCATTCTTCTTGTACACTGGCACTTTTAGAAATGGAAAGCTCTTTCCACATCTACTATAATAAACAGGTATTTACGCTTTACTTATTGTTGCAGCACCCCTATAAAAGGCCAGCAGGCCATTCTGATGCCTATCTTGAAAATACTATTTCTTGACAATGTTAATAAGGACTGTTTAAAAAAGATCTCTGAATTCCACACAAGACTGTAGCTTTTCAAGGAGGGGAAGCACCCACAGCCTCTGCTATGCACCCAAAGCTAGGAAGTTTGAGATATTGAGATCCTGTGAGCAGCTGAGCACTTTTATTTGGATATTTAAGTTTCAAATAGAAATGGGATTTCTGAAATGACTTTGAGTTTCACTGATTTTCCATGGTGTGTCTGAATTATTTAAGCCCTTTTTCAAAATATACTATCAAATCTTGTTATGCAGGTTGTTAAATTATGGGAGTTTTTTGTGCTGGATGCTATTTCACTCTGTTTTTACTGGTGCAGTTCTGACATCAAGAGAAGAAAAAATTACACCTATGGCAAAGAGGTAACTGCTCTAGAAAGCTAGGAAGAGGAGTTAAAAAGTTAATTAAATCAGATTAATACAGAACACAAACCTTTTTAACTTTTGATACACACTACCACTTAGAAATAAGAGTTGCTAACTGCAAGCAAACTTCAGCGGGAAAGAAGCTGTTTCTTCTTCTTCATTGTAAAGAAATGAAAATGCTTGGAGGGGTAGGGGTAAATGCAGCACAGTGTGCACTATCAAGAAAGCTGTTTTGTTTAAGTGTGGTAAGAAAAAAAAAACCTGCAAACTCTTCTGCATTGATTTCACATTGTTTCACATGGATCAGGAAGAAAAGGCTATCACGGAAAACCTCAACTTCGGAACAGGGGGATGGTGGCCAGGGAATCCCATCACTGCTTGAGCTTGCTGGCATCAATGTTTCATTTGATTGGTGTTTGTGTATTTTTGGCCTTCAGAGCACTTGGAGGCCTTTTGTTATTACTTAGGTCTGAAGCTACAGCTTCATTTTTCACATCTTCTTCATGCAGCTTCTATGTTGAAATAGTTGCTGGTAACGTTTTTTCATGGAATTGTTGAGATGATTACTTAGTATTTGTAAGACACTTGTAAAATGCTGTAGAAATTAGATATATTGCTTTTATTTTTTTTATTTTTACCTTTCTTTTGAACTTTCTTCATACACAAATGAAAAGGTTGGTTATAACATGTGATTTCAGGAGTCCACATCAACTACATGCTCCTGGCTGTTTGCATAACTTTTAGTAGTCTTAAGAGCTTTTAGTTAGGATTGGCAGTACGCTAAAAGTGACCCAAGTACCTTCTGCTGTGAGATACTATTAAAGTGATAGGACATGCTGCAATATTTCTGCATCCAGTGGCCTGAAAAGGGATTTTCGTATACTTGCTTTAGGTCCTAACCTGTGTTCGTTTTACATTGGGGATTTGCAATTTTAAGGGTAACAGTGTATTAACAGTCTTTTGTACTTTTGCATCAACACCAGAGCTAAAAGGGGGATTAGGTGGTTTAAAACAAAGTGGTGAACTGAAAGAGCTGGAGCCTGCTTTAGCTTCATTCCTGACCTCACTGTGTGACCTTGGACAAAAACTTCAATATGTTTCTGCCTCAGTTATCACATCAGTTAAATATGGGTAACAGTATGAGCCAAAGAGCACTGTTGCTGTAAGATTTTTGTTTGTATAGACCTCCTGTGAATCTCTAGTACTGAAAAATATCTACATGTGAGGCCAAAAATGTTCATGTTCATTCCTAGAACTACATTAGCAGCATGACGTTTTCATATTACATCACATAAAAAATAGTTCAGTGGAAGATATAAAGAAATATAAAGACTATTTTTGAGCTCCCAAGTATTCATTTTCTGATAATACCTTCATAGCTGTTTCAATGTGGATTCTCCTTGTAGCCTAGTGAGGCTTGGTCAGAGTATTGACAGTGAAGTACATAATGTGTTTCAAGAGAAATAAGATTTATTAATCTAATTCTCTGATGAAGAAGATTTTCATATAATTGATTATCTGCTCAGATAGGCTGAGTCATGTGATAAT